AAATCCTGGTCTTCACACATAATAAATCAGTGTATCTGCACTGATTTAGTGTACCTGTGCTGATTGGTATTGGCTGAGGAGTGGATCCAAAATTTCCCCTTTCTGTGGCAGCTTCTAGAGGCCACTATCTGAACCCAGTCCTGGATCTCCTGGACATGTGTGTGGCTTCCCTGGGAGACCAGACTGTGAAGTGTTGTGGAATAGTTTTCTGACTCTTCTCCTGCATAGTTATAGGAAGTTATATTTGTAGGAATGGAGCAAAATCAAACTGAAAGTTCAAACTGAGTGGATAACAATGTTGTGTTGAACGTGGGAACAGAGGGCAAGAGCAAGTCACATTGGTTCTGGCTGGCTCATGTAGTATAACAGTTTATAAGAAAGCTGGAGAGGTACTTTTTACAAGGGCACGTAGTAACAAGGGGAATGGCTTTAACCTGCCAGAGGGGAGATTGAGATGAGATCTTAAGCAGAAGTTCTTCCCTGTGAGGGTGGTGAAGTGCTGGCACAGGGTGCCCAGAGAAGCTGTGGCTGTCCCATCCCTGGCAGCACTCAAGGCCAGGTTGGACAGCATTTGAGCTGGGCTGATTGCACTGGCATTTGATAGGAAAAGTATCCCACATGAACAGTGGTGAAAAGAAAGCCTGTGAGATGTGACCACTTACATTGAGCTTGCTAGGTCATGGTTAGGCATGAAGAGTATTTGCAAGGAAAGCTGAGCAGCATGCTGCATAGCATCCTCTTTACTCATGAGCCTTGTTGAAATCATAAGCCTCAAAGGGAAAAGAAGGCCGTGAACTCAAGAAACAGGTGAATCAAAGGCAAAGTAGTTGCTCCGAGGGGGGAAAACTTGAAATCAAGGTTGCAGAAAAACAGGGCTCTTAATAGGACAATGCAGGTAATACTATCACAGAGCATTAAAACAATAAACAACTAATTAGCTCAAATATTTGCTGACAATGTGGGTTTTGAGGAAGGGGGGCATGGAACTTCATAAAACTTAATTAACTCATAGAGTAAATCAGTTTCATTCATTGCCACAACAGAGCCAATCAAGATAGGCTTACTGTTTGCTCATTTGGAAAAAGATTAGGATTCCCATTTAGACTTAATTACAGTGCAAAGGCTGACAATTAGTATCTTTGTGGAAGCACTGGATGCCACAATATCTCAGTTGAACATGTGCCTATAATTATAGACATCATTTTCTTAGCAGAAAATCTTATCCACTTATTACCTGGATTTCATGCTTGTAATTAGAGATAGAAGAAATAAGAAAAATTAGGAGGAGGGCTGGTGCTGAATTACTTTGGATCTTTCCATGTAAATCACTTTGTGCAACTGTTTGTCACAAATTAAAACCTTGGTTTGTACTTTATACTCCTCGTGGAAGGGAATTTGTAGACGTACAAAGGAATCAAACTCGCCACATGGGTCATATTTTGACACCGCTAAGAACACCAATGCCTCGGATTGGTTTGGTTCATAAACCCTTCCTTATACCTCCCTAAAGTTTCTCATGTTACACAGGCTTGTACTTATCACCTGAGTGATTGCAGAAGCAAGTTGTTGAGAGAAACTTGGTCAAGTCACTTTGGAAACTCATTTGATCTGAGCCACGACTGCATAGACACAGCCTGTTGACCAAAATAAAACACATTATTATTAAAGCTTGCAAGATGTGCTTGACTACAGTCACATGTAATACTGCAAAACAAATGTTAAGCAAGTAGAGATTCCTCCCATTTGCCATCATAGATTCTTCCAACTCCTTGCATCCAGGGGCTGCACCATGGCTTAGATAAAAGAAAAAGAAAGTTCAAAACATTTTACAGATATTAATTACAGATAAGGCAGGAGGTAAAATGAGGATGTAAGAAACACAAGCTTGCTTCAGCTGCATTTCTCAATGTCCCTGCACCTCTCTTTATCCCATGGGCTTGTGAGGAAGCTGTGGGAGAGCACCCTTTAGAGGGAGCAGCAGCTCAGCACAAGGCTGAGCACTAAGCAAGCATCATATTTAACAAAGTTGAATGAGCCTTCCCTGCATTTCAATTGCATGTATTTCCAGACCAGGGTGAAGGAGTGGAAAAATGCAGGATTCAAACCTTCTTGTATTTGTTTCACACAGGATGTGTCTGACATTAGAGTAACATCTGAACCTCCTGGGGCAAATGGTGCACGGGACTTCAGGACCAAGGCATCGCATTTACTTGAACAGCATTTTGACTGCCTACCAACTGAATTGTTGAACTTGCCTTGGATACAGATGACTGGCAAGGGGCAGAAAGGACAGATTTTCCACTTATATATCCTTTTTTTGCCCATGATCAATGAAGAAATGCGGCATTTGATATTTCTTCCTACTTTTGCTCTGCTTCTTTTGAAAAACACTATCTGACTCCTGAAGTGAGCAATGGCCTGAAGTTAGGAAGGGAAAAAAACCCTGGCTTTATCAGGTCAGATAATCCATGTGCACCGTAATCAGGAAATAGTGTCAGCAGGACTTCCGGGTACACTTTTGTAGCTGATTCCTGTGGAAAGACAGCTGGGAGTCTGGAGGCAGAAAAGCCGTTTCCTTGGTTCTCGAGAAGTATTAACTTGTGTTTTCATTCAGTTTGTTTCATAAGTGCACATAAAAGGGAAGAAAACCAAGTTCTGAGCATTGGCTGTGCCCTTTTGAAAGTTTACTGCTCAGGTGCTTTTAATATTGCCTGAATGCTGAGCATTTTGCAAGGAGGATAAAACCAGTGATGGAAATAATAAAACATGAAAAATAAGTCCCTACATTGTTTGAAGTGCTTATAATGCTGAAGGTCTTTGCTTTTCTTTAGTTTCTTATACCTTATACACTGGAACTTTATATAGACATGGAGCTTGCATAGTGTTATTGTGTTGCTTTGGAAAAGCTGAGAGGTGAGGGGTTTGATGCCTTGGTTTCCGGCTGCCTGGCAGCAAGAATCTCCTTCAGATGTCAGCAGAGAATCCTGCTCATCTCCAGGCAAGGCAAAGCCCTGCAATGCCAGATACTGCTTGAGTGTGAGAGCAGGAGGGCTTTCACATGTCTTCTCAGATGGGAGCTCAGTGCTGGAGCATCTTGATCACCCCAGACAAGTTAGAACAGGGCAGCCATGCCCCTGCCATAGTTTTCAGTGCAGAATGAATGAGCTTTCTTTTGAACTACTGAACTACAAATTCCCCTCCTGGCCAAGGTTACCGGAGTGGGTGGACGAGGGGAAGAAGAAAGAGTTGCTCAGCGAATGAGATACTGGTAGGTGTGTGGTGTGTGGGAGCAGCTGACTTGCCAAACCCACTTGGATTCACTCTAGCGAGCTGAGCGCACTTGGGAAATCTGGCAGGGTTTGATTGCCTGGTACCTGGAAAAGCTCATTTGGAATGCCTGATATCTCCAACCAACCCACAATTAAGTGATTAGTTGCAATGAGTGGACGTTCAAAGACATACACAGCTTTGAGAAATATTCTAACTTGTTTTAAATAGTTTTAAAAAGAGAGAGCCCAAGGAGAGAGGAGTCCTCATAACAGTAGGAAGAAGGAGGATATGAATGGAGTGGGGATTTGTTAGCAAACACCAGTTCAGACCTATTCACAGATTTCATGCAGAACTAGTTGTTCCACTTCAGTGTTTATTACAAGAGTCCCAGGTATGAAAATAGACACAGAAACTTATCGGCATGCAGGTCTTTGTCATCTGGCAGTAGAGGCATATGTAATCCCAGGCAGGAGGTGCAGTTACCTATATGGCTCCTGCCTTTGAAATAAAGAAAATCAAAATCCTACAGAAGGGTTTTTAAGTGTTCAAAACCTGACACTTTAATGTGTGGTTACAGGTCAGTGGCCTTGGGAAGATGGGCAAAAAGATTCAGGAGCAGACACACTGAATACAGCCTCTTGCAAGCTTCGTAGAGCTACAATTATATCAAACTACTTCAGCATCAGAAACCTAGGGTTGCATTTGCTTTCATCTTTCACCCACCTTCAATATCATTTTTGTTTTTTCTCGGAAGACAGTGACAAAATTGTGTATTTCTGTCCCGAACAGAAGCAGTCTGAACATCACTGCTGTTTTAACGTTTCTGAATCAGTTTTATAAATGGGAGAAGTTATACCTAGTCAGTGTGGGTTTTGAAAAACACATTGATTTTCATATCCTTATCTGAATTTAGCCTGTGTATGTGAAGTGATTAATCTGGTTTTAACTCTTGGGTATGTGCCAGCCTTATAGTCAACAGCCTTGCAGAGGTAAACACCAAGAGAAGTCCACTTCTTTCTACAGAGTGTTAGTGTTACACAGATATATGAGCACAAATTTTATTATTGCCATCACTTGGAGTAAAACTGAGCAAAGAGGGACTTTTGGGGACTTTTTTTCCTGCATTTGCTCTTTATAGCAGGTTTTTTTATACCAGAATTATTAGCTGTGCTATTCAAAAATGAGAGTGACTTCAGTTGTGAAAAACTCTATAATGGAAGCACAGATTTGATGGCTAATAGAGAAGACCTTGGTTACACACACGCCTTAGATGTATTGGTATTTGTGTTAAGCAAGGATGAGAAGCAGTGGCTGAACTCTCGCTAAGCTTCTCTGCAGGATGACTGTAAAAATGTTTCTGAGAGAGCTTCAGGTATAGCTTATGCAAAAAATTAATCCAAGTGTTCAAAACCAAGCAATCTACTTCTAATGCAGAGTGCATCATATTAGTGAGCTGGAAGGACAGAAAATTAAAGATGACACGGCCCAGATCATCTTGGCTTTGGCATTTGGGGCTTTTGAGAGCCTTACTTTGAAAAGAAGGCACAGAAATAAGTGCCTTCTGAATACACTATTAACTGGAAAGTATTTGAAGGGAAGTTTGGTGCATGTGAAAAATATCCTTGGGAACCAGTGTTAGATATTATGCAAAGTGAATCTGGCAGAAATGAAGGGGAGCAGAATAGAACTGCTAAACAGGTTTGCTGTGGCTTAACATGTGTCTCCTGTAGGAGGAAACCTTCAGCGCTGGGCGAATGGGAGCTTGCAGAGGACTGCAGGAAGAAGGAGAGCCAGCTTTGCATAAGAACACCTCATCCAAGGATATGAGTCAAAGAAACATGGTAAGTGGGTCCAGCACAGCTCAGTACTGTGCACTGCATGAGCATTGAGTATCGTTTGCTTTTGGCTACAGTCAGGCTGTGTCCATCAATAACTACTCCCTGCAGAAAACCCTGGAGGTGACCACTCCAAGTCACACCTGGTTTGCAAGTAGATTATCTTCTTGTAAGGGGAAAAGGAATGCCTAATTTAGCAAGGAAGTATGTTTTGAATCTTAGCGTAATCTGACTCGTTGGATCAGGAGAGATAGTGCATGGTTTTTGAGACAGAAATATATCCTTGTTCTTGAAGTGGCTGGGAGAAAGCAGCTATCTGTGTGGGAAAGCTGGAGAAATGGCGAGAGGGAAAGGAAAAATTACATGCATTAGTGGTTTATGCCTTCCAGGCATTTACAAACTTTGGGTAAAGCAACTCAGAGGGAATTTCAGTCATTCCAAGGAGGCAGCATGATTTAAGAGGGCACAAGGGCTGCAGTTTGCTCTATGGTTTAACCCACAAATAAAACTTCCATTGCCCTGTTGAATATCTGGAAGGAATTTGGGGTTGCATTTTTAGGAGGTCAGGCATTAATAAAGTGTTGCTTTATTGCTCCAGTGACCTACCACTTCAGTATTGCCTTGGTCTTGTGCTGCTCGTGGTAGGGGGAGGTTAATGTGCAAAACATAACAGCTTCAACAGGTTTTGGGGAAACAAAGACAGTTTCACAGCTGTTGTATTTCTGATTGGGTTTTTTATGCATTACACTGCTCTTTCTTGCTGCTGCACACTTTAAAGACCACTCGACCCATTCTCCCTTGCTGGCCTACTCTCTGCCTTCCACAGGGTTAGAAACAAGACGGTGTGCAACTGAAGATCCGGTGGCCATCATCAGCCCATGATCTAATTAAATCAAAACTCTGAATGGTACGTGCCCCTTTAATAGTCTCCTCCCTGTTTCAGTCAATGACTTCTTTCATACCTTTTCCTAAATATCTGCTACATTAGAATAGGTTCTGTAGCATTCCTCTATTTCAGTTGCAGAGGCCACTTTATTTTAATACATGATGTTATCTGAAGGCTGGGGTAAGTTCTCTTAATAATGTGTTCTTCATCTAGCATTTTCCCTTTTCAGTTCCATCCCATTCTCTCCTTATATTTTCCATATTCATCACATTCCAAAATATTTTTATGCTTTGTTTTTTTGACGTGTAAAGATTTAATGTATTTATCAGTAGCAAAAAAAACCCTCTCAGTCTGTTTTGTGATGAACAACAGATGAGCATGACAGCAGTGGAAAAAAAAAACCATCATACTCCTCCTTCTGTCTTGAAGGACATTAAAAAATGGAGAAAAAAATATTTGGAACTGGGTTGAGAACTTCAGTCTACTGAGGGTTTAATATTTATCCCTATTTTATTAGGAAGGGGAAACAGAGGCAGAAAGACTTGCCCAAATGCGTCAGTCATTCAGCCTAAACAGATGTGCTGGCATGATTCTGGCGTCTTTCACAAATACCAAGACTCATTTTGATTGTGAAATACTTGCTGAAGCACATTATCAAGGAGCCTCAAAGGGGTTTCATTTCAGAGCTAGTGGTTTGAGACTGTCTGATGTGAAAGCAAAGTAGATAATACCTCATATTTCAATCAGACCATGAGCAAGGACCCAGAACAATCAAATTTGGCTCCTTTGCCCTTTATGACATACTTCACATCTTCATACAGCACTAAGTGAGAGTATAAGCCAATGGAAACTGGAGCAAACTTGCACTCTTGCATCAGTGAGTAGGACTAAGAGTAACTGGACTTAGACTCACAGGCGAATTTCAACAGCTCTTTCTGATCCATCTACTGGGGGAATATAATCAGGGTAATTTCATACCTGTCACTTCAGGTGTAAAATGATTTTAGTGATGATGGAAATCTCCAAAGTGATGTTTTCTTGGTTTGCTTCCTTCCTTCTGCTTCTCTCAGAACAGCCAGCTAGAGTAATTGTCTTGCTGTCTAGGTTATAATTTGGTTCATGACTAAAGTCCTCCTTTTCCATTGTGCTCTCATTCCAAAGGGAATTTAACAAACATAACAGGAGATAATTCCTAACTCTATATTGTCAAGGCAAAACATGGAGTTGCAGTGTCAGGTACTGAGAGTAGTTAAGTGCCTGATCACAGCTCCATTTGCAAGACAGGCACTTCAGAAAGGCAGAACAAAATGTGTTCTGCATGGCATCAAAAGACAGCATAAAACTTCAAAATACATCAGAAGCTGCTTAGCCAAGGCAGCAGAGAAATCGATATAGGCTACTAAATTAACTTCAGAAGCAGAGTGAGTGTTGAGTTGATTCCCCATCTGCAGGTGCCTTGTAACTTCTGGAAGGAGAACTAACATCTTTGTTCTGCTTCAGGTGTGTTGCACGATGCTGCGCTCCTTCCAGGGAGTACAATGTCAAATGCACTGCCTTAGGAGTGCTCTGATAAGGCTTTCAACCCTCCTTAAACAGGAGTCAAAGTCTGGATATATATGATATCCCAACAAGATCACACAGGAGAAAATATGTGCTGTTATGAAAAAAGAAATGAGGCATGCAGAGAGTAGCCTAAAAGACCCATTTTACTTGGTTGTGCTGATTTTCATATGGATACGGTTACCGTTGTTATTTGAACAATCTGAAAAACATCTTTTTTAATCACTTTTTCTTTTTAAAGGGGGTGGAGGAATCTAAATTTCAGGTATTTTCATTGTGACCAGTTTCAAAAAAATGCCTTGCAAACATATTTCTATAAAGAGAACAGAGCGTTTAGGCTGCTTCGACGGTAGCCAAAGCAAGCAGCAAAACATGTGAATGCCTCCAGAACGCTTCCAGGGTTTTGTTCCACTGCCAAAAGCTGAGACGTAGATTCACAGCATGAGGCAGCAAACTTCTCTGGCTTTCTGTGCTCACACATGAGGTGGATTTAACATAAGAGGCTGTTATGCTTCCCTTATTTCTCCTCTTCCATTTCTCACTCAGGATCTTGGTTTAACAACTAAGAGAGTAATATGGAGGTAATTCCTGCCCTAACGATACTGAAGGCAGATGAAACAACTTTGCCAGTCACAGCACATATTTATCAGACCATCTGTGCTTGTGAACCCTTTGGAAAGACCAGATTCAGTGTGTCATCAGGCTGTGTCTCTCTTGGGCCTGTGGATGGCTGGATATTGGGAGATCTCAGATAATGTGTGTTCTTCCAAAGGCTGTTCAGAATATGTGGTCAAGATGCCAGAAGGACATATAGTTTCTGCTCAGGAGGAACTGGATAGGTACAGGTACTTCATTTATCTTTCTGCCTTGTTCTTTCCAAGAACTTGGAATAAGCTCTGTATCTCACTATCGGGGGACATCAGGCCCTAAGAAGCAAATGAATCCCATCATCACAGGGCAACCTTTCTTAACCTTCCTTTCAACTTGCCTGCTCCCTGAGACACTCCCCAGCTAATGCGACTTAATTATCTTGAGGGTAAGGAAATCAGCTATAATTCCTGGCTGTAAGGGTTTAGTTTCTTAGATATCATCATTGGCATTGGAACCCTGACAACAATTAAAGGTCGTTAGCCACTGCTTGGCGAATATAAACCTCTGCAGGCAACAGTTACAGTTTGCTGCTAGTCTATTACCCTGGGGAAGGTGAACTGCTGGGGACTACTGCATTTGCACCTTGAGCCCTTTTCTAGCCCTCAGCCTAGCTCTGACCTTCATGAACACTTCGAGGGACACTTTTGTGAAGCAACTTGAGGGCTCTCTGTACCAAATCCTGGTTCCCAGTTCACGCAACGGCTGGAGATACAGGCTTGCAGTCTACAGAGCATGTTTTCAGGATGACTTTTGTCTGCCCAGTACATAACAGGTACGTGTGTCTGTTGGCAAGAGATCTGTATGAGTGGAAGTAGATCCTGCCAGAGAGGAACTTTGATCACCCATGTGTTATTTTGTTGTATGCAGATGCCAACTTTCATAAAGCCTATGGGTTCAGTTTCAGATTAAAGTGAAAGTTTTGCCCCTGTTTATTTTGTATCGCTTGAGAAAGGTTGACTGGGTCCTTAAAAGATTGATTGAATCCTTAAAAGCCCTGATTAAATCAACCTTTAGGAATCATCCAGTAGAACCCTGGCATGAATCAGCAATTGGAAATCTTAATTTGACTGTCTTCTGTTCCAGTTTTGCTTATAAATTGAAACAAGCAATTGTTTCAATTTGTGTCATCTGCAATTTGTGTCATCTGCTGTCCTTCAATTAATTGGGTCATAAGAGGTATTATTACATGATGAAATGATTTCTGAGAGATTATTTGGAGAACGGTTCCTGTGGGTCTCTTGCCTGTGCAGGAGTGGGAGCAAGTTATGAAAGCAGAAGGGTGGCAAAAGGTTTTTGCTGGCCAGGGCCTGGGAGCTTGGATGGGGACATGAGGACTTTGGGGTGGAAAGGGGACAGTGTGGGTGTTCTCATGGCACACAGCAACTATCCTCAGGCCACAGGCCAGAAGGAGGGGAAAGCAAAGTACAGATGCTAGTCGCAAAGGACAAAGATGAGAGCTGCCTAGTGTGTAGCATTGAGAGCTGGAGGAATCTCTGCTTTCTCCTCTCCAGAGCTAGCTGGCTTTGCCAGTAAGTTAGATGAGATTCCAGTTTTCCACAGAAAACAGACTAAGTGTCCACTTCGAAAACTGCAATTGTAGCAACAACCAGCTCCTGTAAAACACAGGTTATCCCCTCGTGTAATTCTCTGCTGCAACAACAAAAGCATCAACAAGCAAGTGATCTGGTATCTCAGTTTTCTCTATGCCTGCTATTTTAGCCAGTTCTAATCTTTAACTCTGCAGTTTGTTGGGCAGAGATATTCAGAGTTTGGGCAAACAGGCAGAGGTTAGTCACCTTTGTTTTGGAGCTATATCAATAAGTCCTACACCTCTTACGCAGATCATCTCCAGTCTCTCCCTCCTTTTTCTGCTTCTAAACAAAGGGCCACAGATAGAGATCACAATTTA